TTTCTTGCGCAATTTTCCTTTAAAATGAAAACTATATCAAATTATGCAACCACTCTGATGGCTACAAATGATTTGCACAACTTGGGACATGAAGCCAAACTCACATAATCAGATTCAACGGTACCACTTGGAGGTGCATTGCGGACTTGTTGCAAGCATGCAGCCCAACGGCTAAAAATCGGCTTGATCACGTCCCAACGACCTTGGAGTGACCGAAAGGTGCATGGCGTCCTGTTGGGATACTTTGCCATCACGTGCAATTACTGATCCTCTATCCTTTGTCAATACCGTTTGGCGGTTTGGTCAGTGCCGGTGCATGCATCAAGGGACACCAATTCCCAAGCCTTGATGAAGATGGTATCTTCCAACTACGTGTAGTTCTTCGATCTTGCGCGCACTTTTTCTTGCGCTTCGTCGAACACCCCCTCCTCAACCTTCTTGAGCTCATCTTCTTCCACGCTGTGGTCGTGCACGCCACCATCCATCTCATTGTAACAGTAATCACCGATCGGGACTTGACCGATATCAACGGTGTTGTCATCTAACAAGTGCACAAACTCGGCAGCCGCATCATGCAAACCAGCGCTACAATTTCACTCAACAAGTCACGAACACGTGCAATGGAGAACAGTGAAAGAAGTACAAGAAATCGAAGCATCATACCTTGCGCCCATTTCGTCAAACACCTCAGGGGCGGCGGCAACAGCGTCGTCGGCTGGCATCCTCGGGGTAGATCTTTCCTAGGCAATCGGGGGAGGTGTTGGTGGGGTAGGTCTTCCTACGAGCTTCTTGCGTATCGCACCCGAAACCTTCCCCTTCATCGCCGGCAGCCCAACCGGATTTGCATCTGCGGGGCTGCGGGAGTGCGTGCCTTCCCGGCGGGGGCGGCGGGAGTGCCGTCCTGGACGACGATGTTGCCCTGCCGCTTGCGGGGTGGCGCGGTGTAGCCTTGAATGGCGATGGGCGCGACATGGCCGGCGATGAGATATGCCGAAGGGGATGTCGCGTGGATGACATCCGCGGTGACGACCGATGGCTGGGAGGCTTCCATGGCAGCAGAGGGAAGCTAGGGAAGGTGCTCCGGGGCGGGCGGAGGGAGGTGGTTGGCGGCGGAGGGAAGGGGAACCGGGAACTATCGCGCAGAAATGTCCCTCCCGCCAAATCTCGCAGCCGATAGGGGTCAAGCTCGGGTTGGCCTCCCATCCCGTGTATCTAAAGGTTGAGGGCAAAGTTTTTCCGCGCCCCGCAATTTTTTTATAGCTTGCAGGCCGATGTGTTGTCTGATCGGGCCACTTTTTTCGGCCGAAATCGTAATTACCAGTTACGTTGCGGGTCGGCGCGTTTTAAAGGGTCTGCTAGAGATGCTGTTACCAAAGACATCTGATTGGTACCTGATTACCATAAGAAAACAATTTATTTACAAACTATGAATTTATTGGTATAACATAGACGGTTCTGATTTATTGGGTCACCGAAGATTGGTTTGTTGAAAATCGGAAGCGAATAGAAAAATAGGAACAACCAATGAAGGGTGAAAGGACAAACGAAGAGGTGGCGGCGAAAACAATGATGAAAAAAATGAAATAAGATGAAACCTTACATTACTTTTATGTAATATTTAGTAGAGATAGAGATATATTGCAATGCATCTACTCTTAGGCTGATCATAGTGTGAGTAACTTAGTTAGTAACATATCGCACACCAAGGCAAATTTATGTATGTGGCAAGTAGTTAATGAACTGTTCATGTATTGTTCACTATCTTGCAATCACCATTTTTTTATTTTGTATAACTCTTGTGTTTACTTATTTCATCACCAAACTTTATACATGTGTAATATACATCCATATGATCATCTAGAATTCCTTTTGGAACTTTTGAAACTTCAAATGTTATTTTTAAACAATTAAAATTGGAGTAGTGCTACGCAGCCGATGATTTATCCTCCAATGCATGCATGACACTGGTTAATAATCGTTAGATTAAATCCCACCATAGTTAAGCAATGTTGGATTCTACCATCATCCACCTCCCGTGCATAAACGATCGTGTGTGGAGCTATTCCGTTAAAAATAAGGTGCTCCAATGCACTCATGCTTCAAAAATTCACTTTCTAATAACTAATAATAATATTTATCTAATAATAAAGCGGCTATCGCTTCTAGTCATACGTCATGAAAATTACCCATAAAATTGCCAATAATCACCCATTATGCCACCTGTAAGTGAAAAAAAAGATTTGTTTTTTGCTTAGTTGCTACACCGGACTTTGGTTTATTAGACGAAACGACCCACTAAAGTACAACAAAGGGTGAGTAGCTCATTGGCTAGATCGCCACCCTTCAATTGGATAGACCTACGTTCGAATGCTGACTATCTGATTTTTCTTTCCTTTTTTTATTTTCTTTTATCGGCACATTCAAATACTTTTTAAAATAATCCTATCTTTTAAATATATTATATCTCAAAATTTCTTAGAAAAATGTGTATATTTCAAATATGTTATTATCTTGCATGTTAATCATTTCTAAAAATCTCATTTTTCTTCATATTTGTTTAATTTTACTTTTATCGAGTAGATTCAAATACTTTTCAAAAATATTGATTAAAATTCTAACTCGAAGTCTAGCATGTTATGTATGTAAATTCCTCAGAAAAATGTATAGATTTTAAATATGCTATTATCTTGCATGTCAATTATCTCTAAAATTAGGTTTAGGATGCAGCCTTAATTAATACTTTTTATATGTGGTATTTTGAAAATGCCTATTATATATGTTCCTACACCATTTAAATCGAGTACATATGATAGTTTGGTGCTTTCTCAAAAATTATTGGCATAGTAGGGGATGTTGATTCCTACTAAAATTACAACATGTGTATAATCATCCTCTCTATTTTGCACAGTGCACAATAACCGACCCGTATATGATGACGTACACTAAAGTACTGATGCGAGCTTTATGTAAACCAGTGGCTTAACATTGATTTTCATAGTTTGAAATCGTGCCCATAAAGTTTGGTTCTGACAATATCGATGTTCATATGCAACCTTGAACATTTGGTACGCACGTCCTTATAGATTGATTGCTTTCGGTGTAAACATCTAATATGTTTGCAACTAAACTAAATATAACTTGGATTACATTTGCAAACACATGTAGCAACAAGACAAAATTTCACATGTCATCATTGAGTACTAAAATGTACTTCTCTATTTTCATCCTAATGCAATATTTGTTGGGCATCACTAAAGAGGAATGACAACAAAGGCATAAAAGAGATAGCGGCGGATAGGTAGATTTTTTTTGTTGTCTAATAAATTGGAAACACATTGAGTACACTTCAGAAAATAACTCACCTTTATGTTTTTGTACACCACTGCAACATCGTGAATGAGGGATGGCTTTTTTTCTCCCGGTACAATGCACGGGCATGTTTGCTACTAGTAGTACTAATTGGGATAATTCATAGGTGTTTCCCGTAAAAAAAAGGAATAATCCATAGGTGGTCATAGTTGAGCCTCACAATAAGACTATCCACAATGAGAGTAACATATGTGGTAATATCACACATATTTAGACAAAATAGATGATGTGGCAAGTAATTAATAAAGAAAGAGAGTGATGTGGTAACATAGCTAGTTACTAGTAGTATGAGTAACATCACGTATATCAAAACAAAATGAGTCTACAACTTAATAAATGAAGTGTTGCATGACACCACACATATGTTACTCCTCATTGTGAAGGTAGTAATAGACTAGTAACATATGCATGTTACTACTCTAAGTTACTCCCTACTGTGGCTAGTCTAAGGCTGGTCATAATGGAAGTAACTTAGAGAGTAAGATAGATGCCACATAAGCAAAAAAGATGACGTGACAAATAATTAATGAGGAGAGAGGCTAATAGTGTAACATAATATGTTACCATCACATAGCGCTTTTTAATGTAAAATGGCTCTACAAAGCAATAAATGAGAACATCTATGTTATCACACCCATGATACCACCCACTATGAATGTAGTAACATAGACTAGTAACATATACATGTTACTAGTTTAAGTTACTCCCTACTGTGACCAGCCTAAGATGATCAAAGCTTTTTACGAGGACGTGCATCGACTCCTCCCCGCATTAACTTGAGCGCAAAGGCATTTTTTATGGCAGTGGAGAAACAAAACTGGCTCTCCGAGCAGTTAACGCGTGCCGATCCAGGATTGCGGACCGAGAGATTGATATTTCGATCCGAGAAGCCAGAGCGTACGCAGCCGAACCGCCGAATCGATTCGGCACCCGACCACGAGCGGCAAAGTATTACTACTGACTGATGAACATCGCGCGTGCCCATGCATATGCTGGCATTTGATGCGCCCGTCGTGAACTGGCCGTGTTATTTTTGGTCTCGCGGCGCTGACCACGGCATTACTGGGCCGCCGCTTTAGTTTTCACCGGCGCCGTCGCCCATCGGCAATGTCGTGATGCTACTTCAAATACAACGAGCGGCGTTGGGCGCAATAAGATCGAAAACTCGACATGCGTTTGCGTCCACCTTTGGAAAACAAGCTTGATGAGTGCATGCATGCATTCGCAAAAAATAGTACTACTAGTATGAATCAGTAGAAACACCATCCGTTGCAAGCATGCGTAAATCTTAATCTACTCCCCGAGTTCTTGCGAGGCACCGTCATACTGAGGTCCCCAAAATTTAGCTTTAACACAGAGATAAGGAATTTCACCAAATCAACATGGTGAGAAATCACACAAAAAATGGACCATAAGATTCGATAAGCTTAATTTCCATGCATTTGCTAGCTACAAGACCAGATTTCAATCCCCAAAAGTTGATCTAGTACAGGGTAGCATGATTGATTAGACACTGGCGTATATATATAGGGGCGGCTAAGCAAATCTTAAAGCCTAGAGTACTAATTTCACCGATGATTGCATGCACAACAAGCGCGCCTCGCACCGCATTGCATCGCATGCACTCGACATCACGCCCTGCGGCTGCGGCCCATCGCAGACGGCGCTGCCACGACCTCCATGAACGGCGGGTACTGGACTACGTCCTGGAGGAGCCCCTGCGGCAGCACTGGGAAGTCGCCCTCATTCTCGTACCCGTTGTCGCCGGCGCCCCAAGAAGAGGATACGCCGCCGGAAGCCTCGTGCCTCTCCTGGTTCGGCAGCCAGATCAACGCGTCAGGATCGGCAGTGCGAACATGGTCGCGCGGCCGCCTGCTCGCGTGGGAGCCGTGCACCACGTCCTGCAGCAGCCCCGTCTCCGGCGGATCTCGCCCTTGCAGGACGCCGGCCCAGTCCCAGTCGTCGTCGTCGTCTTCCACTCCGGGAACAGACGACGCCGAGGCCGTGGCGGTGTCTGAAATGGTGACCGTAGCGGCGCACGAAGCAGCGGGACGAGGCGATGGTGGCGTCGGTATGGGCGGCGGAGGGGGGTTGACGTGGGAGTGGCCGTGGCCGGCGTGATGGAGGAGGACGCAGCCGTGCGGGGAGGAGCTCATGAGGTTGTGCAGGATGAAGGTGTTGAGCTGCGCCGGCGGATGCGCCTGCGCCGTCGACTGGCCCCATGGCCAGTACCCCGCCGGCCAGGAATCGACGGGTGCGGGGAAGTTGGTACGCGCCTTGGCTCCACGCATGAAGCGCGCGGCGACGTCGTAGGCGCAGGCCGCCTGCTCGGCGGTGTCGTACGTGCCGAGCCAGCGGCGCGCTTTGGACGCGGGGTCCCGGATCTCCGCCGCGAACCGGCCCCACGGACGGCGCCGCACCCCGCGGTACTGCATGCCCGTCGGAGACACGTCGCCGGACGCCAAGGAAGAACGCTTGCTGCGGTGGCGGTGTGCGTGCGCGTGCGTCTGTGCGGCCGCGTCGACGTCCATGATGTCCACGCTGTGGAATGGCGATGTGCTTGGTTGTGTTGGGACTTGGGAGTGTGAGGGGATGATGAGGCGCGGGGGAGCTGCTTATATAGATGGGGCGATGGGCAAGACAAAGAATTTCTTCTTCTTTTTGACAAAATACACCTCGAACCACTTGATATTGACTTTGTTGTGGTTTCTAGGCTTGGCGGGTTGCCATTTCTCAATCAATTGAAAAATGGCTATAGCTCAATCGATGCTCTTTTAGAAATGAAAATCGCTACTACTCCTACTTGTTTTTCAATCTCGAAATGGCTATTATTGCTGTCTTCAGTTCCTCAAAAAACAAATACCCCCTCCAATACAAATTAATTGCCGCACACTTGGTATGACTTTATAAAGTTATCTACTCTATCACTAAGCTCTCTAGGATTAGAGCAACTCTAGCAGACTTCGCATCCTGCCGGCCCGCAAAACGCGTTTGCAGTTCGCGGAAAACGGCCTTTACGGGCCGGCACGGACGGCCACAGATGTAGATCCCCAAACGGATCCATATAAAAATATATTCGCGAAATATGCTTTTTTTACGGGCCAGTTTTGCGGGGTCTGCTTTTTGCGCCGCTGCATCCTGCATCTCACCGGCCCAAAAATATCAAATCCAACATAATACAACATAATACAATAAAAGAAAGCAAAATAAATAATTATTCAAATCAAATATAATACAATAACCATTCACATTACAAATAATTATTCAAATCACCGAAGCAAACTTAAATAATGTAATACAAAACTTGTCGTGAATACAAATACAAATGAATACAAAAGGAGTCACTGTCCAGCCCTTTGCCTATGGTGCTCGATGAGATTCTCCTGAAGTTGAAAGTGTGTGTTTGCATTTTCAATCTCCTTGTATGTCTCAAGAAAAGCTCTAATGCGGTTAGGGTCTCTAGCTGGTTTCACACGGCTACCCACATTGTTGTAGAAGAATTCCAAGTTCATTCCTCTCTCATCTTCAAGAATCATATTGTGAAGGATAACACAACATTTTATGATATTTTTCAACGTTCTCTTATCCCCAAAACGAGCAGGACCACGGACAATAGCAAACCTAGATTGCAAAACACCTCCCGCAAATATCACAAAACAAACACTAACCAGAGGCGGATGCGGCGGGTGATCCCGGGCTGCGACGAGGGGGCAGGCTCGACGGTGGTCGATCCCCGGCGGCGGCAGCGATGAAGGGCGACTCTTCTCACC